GATCCGCGCCTCTGCCACATCTGCCTTCCAGTTGAACTCCTGAAAGGCCAGATCATCTTCCAACTGCAACTTCCAGGAAGCGATGGCCTGGGCCAGAGACGGCGTCTTTGCGTTCAAAGCCTCGATCGGCGGAAATCTCTTCTCCTTGTGCCGACTTTCCTCCTGCCACGCCAACGGTGAAAGGAGGAAGAGAGAGACCAAGGCCAAACATCTGAATTCTTTGGGACTATTAGAAATCTCTCCTCTCTCTCTTTAAAAATATTTAACAGCTCTCCTCTAGGTCTAGTGAATTTATTCTGTGATTTCTCTATGTCCCAGATGGTTATTTCCACCCCAGCACTTGGATGACCTTCTCATGCTTTTATTTCCACCCCACCACTTGGATGACCTTCTCATGCTTGTTCACACAACTGTGATCATCTGAGAGAGGGTAAGCATCTAGAAGGTATGACGTCATCTCTGCTGAAGGTTCTTCGTGTAGCACTTAGATCAGTGAGGTGTTGTAAAAACAAGCATTTAAACTAAAGAAGGATACTCAAGTTACAACTAAGTTTCCAACGGGTCCTCCTCTTTAGAGGCTTACAAAAAAAATTTCCCCATTCTTACAAATATTCTATGATCAAAGCAAGTCATTTATAAAAGCTTCATAAATGCCATGTTGTGCACAGGATAAGAGTAAGTGTGTCAACAACTAATTTAAAGAATCTGAAAGGTGTATTTATAAGAGCTCGAAAAAAGAGTTTTCAGAAAACAGAAATTAAATAACTATTTGCTGACAACAACAAGAAGAAAAAAATGGCAGCTTAAAGAGAAGGATTCAATTGGGCCACCGTGGGAAAATTTATTGCACAGAAATAATCAGTTGTGGCATTAATTTTTGGGGAGCAGTAGCTGGTTGTTAATTACCAGCACATCCCCTCTAAATAGCCATTGTGGCTAGTAGCGGCCATATTGGACACTGCATCCCGAGATAATAAAAATAAATACATATTTGTTAGATGTTAAAAATAGGTGATTAAAATTCTGTGTATGATTTTAGCACTGCTAAAGCATGAGTCTATATTTGGGCCAATCCCTTTTGAAAATGAAAGTTTGACTGGGAATTCCCGGAATCTCTCACCTTACTCAGGATGCCTTCGCCCTGAGCACACACATTTTGCACCCGGGCCTCGTGGACAGCAAAGTCATTATCTAAGCCTTCATGCTTCTTTAGCAAACTCTGCATAAACGAGATGGTGAGAATCAAAACATCTGGACAGCATATCCCACCCACATTGCTCCCCAAATTATTCACTTGCCCAAAAAAGGACAAACTTACCAGAAAAAGGGTCACAGGTATATAAGTGATATTGAGTCTATCTCACCATGTGACCTGACAGTTTTCTGGATTTTGAAATTAAGAGTGTTGATCAAGGATTTCCCCATATTGAAATTTAAACATTTCTAAGCAACACTGGATTTACCAGAAAAATATTAAATATCAAGAACATCCTATATGAAGGGCTATTCTTAAATTTGTTTTTTTCCCACCAGGAGGGAGATTCTAATTTTAAGGTGAAATCACTGAGAATCTAAGAAGAGATTCCTCTTAAAGAGAAGACAATGGATTCATTCAGCCCTTTACTCACCTGAGTAGCAGCCAACGTGTCCCCAGAATCTCCTCGGGCAACCATGGCTTCCTTTTCATTGATCCAAGCTTCTTCTTCCTCAGCATTCTCCATAAATTGCAAGTATTCTAGGGACTCTTCCAACTGAAGCCCTCTGCAGCAGGCCAGGAAGTGCCGGGAAGAAGAAGAGAAAACCAGCAAGTGTGGGAATGGGGCCAAAGGCACAACCTCACGAGGCAGCCACTGTTGAACTGGGCCACAGAAGAATTGAGCCTGTGTCTACTAGTCGGCGGTGGTGATCGCCTCTGAAAAGGGGGAGACTCTAGACCCACAAGTTCCGTTTTGTAGCATCATCTACTCTCTAGGAATGTTTGTTGGGGAAAGGAAATCTTGTCCAAACAAAAGTGCTAAGACTTCGGAGTTGGAGAATAATGGCCGTGAATCAGAACACTGTCATTCATCTTAAGCACTTTTATTTCCCCAGGAAGAAATGTCTTCCTATGCCAACCGACATGAAATTATAGCAGAAATTATTTTATTTGGCTATATGACCATATGATTCTAAATGGCTATATGGCTCTAAGGGAGAAAAAAACATTTCTCTCACTACTAACTGTTGCATACAAGGCTAAAATTGGGGCAACATCAAACAGACGTGTGGCAATTAACCTGTTACAAAGAGCAGCAATGAGAAAAGATGGTTGCAGGTGAGTGCAGGAGTAGAGGTCTGTAAGCACAGAGGCAGCAATGACTTCTGCCTGCGGCAAATGGGAGACTTTAATGGAAGACTGCGCTTGAGGAGGGACTTAGAAGATAGAGGATGGGTGGCGGGGGAGAAATGCTAAGCAAGCACTTGGGTGTCCTCCCCAACCCCAGTCCCACACCTGCCACACAGGCGGAGAACGGGCCCCGCCCCCACTCACCTCGCCTTGGTCAGCTCTTTGAGCTGCTCCCAGTGCTGAACAAACTGCGCCAGCCGCTCCTGGATCTCCTCTCGCCCCACCGCGGCCTTGTCTCCCAGTCCCTCTGCCATATCCAGCACGTTCTGAAAAACACACCCCCTCCATGCTGCACCACCTCACGCCCTCTCCCGTTGTAGGCACAGTTCCCTGGCCAAGTATCTAGGCAGATTATTTCTTAACTTCATGGTACTCAGGGTGGACTTAAAAATCCTGGGAGGATGAAGAAAGCTGAAGTAATAGACCATGTTAAATTGACCCAAGTATTTGAGCGGACACATTGGCATTTGTACCAGGCCATGCACTCCATGGTCTGATTTATGGATAGGGTGACCCTGCTGCCAAGCCAGAACCAGAGTTGCCTTTTTATTTATTTTTAGTTTTTATTGATTTTTCACAGAGAGGAACGGAGAGAAATAGAGTCAGAAACATCGATGAGAGAGAAACATCGATCAGCTGCCTCCTGCACACTCCCCACTGGGGATGTGCCTGCAACCAAGGTACATGCCCTTGACCGGAATCGAACCCGGGACCTTTCAGTCCGCAGGCCGACGCTCCATCCACTGAGCCAAACCGGTTTCGGCGTGTTGCCTTTTTTTACCATACGGTTCGGCTCAAGCACAGCTTTTCTGAATGTCCCAACCTGCATCCTAATTGTCAAAACTGTGCCCTGGCGTGTTGAAGTGCTCCCTCCAAGGAAGAGCACCGGTCCCTGTGCAGGATTCTTCTAGTCACAGGATACAACGTGTGCAGGAGAAAAGAATGCTTTTGAATGCTGTGACTGACTATGTGATCGTGGCAGGCCGCCTTCACATTTTACAGAATCATCCTACTTCTCCCCACACAGGGGGGCCTACTATTGGATTAGCTCTGCCCTCGCAGGCCTCAGACTCTACTGTTCCTACCTGGATGGCAGGTTCATGTGCCATCAGCTCCCCCTCTAGCCGTCTGTGCTTCTTCAGTAAGTTCTGAACCCCCTGCAGGTCCCTCCCCTGGTCCTGGGACTGCACTCGCACCAACTTCTCTCTGCAAACAAGGGAGGAACAGTTTAGGCATCTGAGGTCATCCTAGAGCAGCAGTTTTCTGAGTGTGTGTGTGGCTGGGGGTGAGGCGCTGGTAACGCTCTGGAGCCAGTGATCACAAAGATAATTAGTACCAAAGGCTTTCAGCTAAATTTCTGACTTAGGCTAACGCAGTTAAAATAGCAACTGCTCTCCACCAGCAGCTCCAGCCTTCTCTTTAGTTCCCTTGCCTGTCTCATGACTCATCTTCTCTTCTTTGCTCGAGAATGTAACTAGTGTTCCTCTTTGAATAAAAGTGAAAATTATATGCATGCACATACCCACAAACATATATACATATATGACTTCATGGCATTTGTTATGTTTGTCTACCGATACATTTAGTTAGAATGAGTTATAAAGAGCTGATATTATAGAAGTAATGGCAGCAATGGCCTGAGGGTAAACTATTTGAATATCACTATGAAGCACAGTAAAAGACGACAAAGACAAGATTATATTACCTCACTGTTTCTAAAAGTGTTTCTAAAATGCCCTGCTTGTTGCCCTGTGCACAACGTTTTTCTCTAATTCATTGATTACTGTGAAGAATCAGCAGATGTGTTGAAGACAAACATGATGAGGCAGGTTAAACAGAAAATAAAACAAATAATTTGATTTGCTAGTATATTCCTAATCATATTTTTCCAAATAAATATAAACATTTTATTTTTTTGTTTTATTTTAAAAATCTAGTTAAATTTATTGAGGTGACATTGGTGAATAAAATTATGTAAGTTTCAAGTGTACAATTCTATGATGCATGATCCATATATTGCACTGTGTGTTCACTACCCAATCTTCCCTCACCGTATATTGACTCCCTTTACCCTTCCACTCCCCACCCCCTTCCCTCTGGTAACCACATACTCTTGTATTTATCTGTGAGTTTTGTGTGTTTATTTTTATTTGTTTGTTGCTTTCAATGTTATATCCCACATATGAGTGAAATCATATGGTTCTTGCCAATTGTATGTTTTTGCAACAAAGGTAGAATTAATTAGTAATAAAACCACGGTAGGTAATGTGTAACATTCCCTGTCCAGTGTCCAGTTTGGTATCATATTAGATACAGAGGATATAGGAAAAAGGAAGACAAGGAGCTCATCAGTTGGGTAAGCTGTAAATGTCCAGCTGTCTCATTTCGAAGGAGCATTACACATTCTATGAACTATCTAGAACTATGGTTTCTTTTTTTTTATTGTTTAAGGTATTACAAATAGTAGTACACGTGTCTCTTTTTTTCCCCACTGACCTCCCCCCGGCTTCCCCTCATCCCCTCGCCCCCAGTGTCTTGCATCTGTTGGTTGCGCTTATATGCATGCATACAAGTCCTTCGGTTGATCTCTTACCGCCCACCCCCCCTTAACTTTGTTCCCAGACTACATGTGAACTATTCCCCACTCCTTCTTTTCTTATGTCCCTCTGCGTGTATACAGTGAGGGAATTTGAAAAAATAAAATAAATGTTAACTTTAAGCCAAGGCCATCATGATTAAGAAGTAATACCAATGGCAAGAAACTTCACCTATTTCACTTCAGCATCAAATAGAAACATGTTGTGTGGGTTATCTGCTCTCCTGAATCACCAACGCAATGTAAGCTGGCAGTACATACTCTATCCAGGCCTCCTCGTCGTCCAGGTCCTGGAAGAACTGGAACAGGGCATAGGTCTCTTTCAGTTTCTCATGGTGTGCAGCTGCTAGATTCTGGACATCCAGGAAGCGCTTGTTGACATTATCTCTTTTCTCCACAATCTGGTCAGCATTGAAAGTCCCGCTGGAGAGCAGATCAGCAGCCAACTCATTCAGGTCCTTCAGTGCATCCTAGAAAACCCAAGTGTGTTCAGTGAATATTACAGTACAGGCATTAAGCTGGTAGCGGGCTCGATCCCCAGTAGGGGGCATGCAGGAGGCAGCTGATCAATGATTCTCATCATTGATGTTTCTGTCTTTCTCTCCTTCTCCCTTCCTCTCTGAAATATATATATATGTATACCCCCACACACATATACATACATATATATTTTTTTAAAAGACGTGGCAGATTTACACAATGGAATACTACACAGCTGTTAAAAAGATGGAACTCTTACCCTTCACGTCAGCATGGAGGGACCTGGAGATTATTGTTCTAAGCGAAACAAGCCAGTCAGAGAATGATAAATATCATAGCATCTCACTTAGAATGTGGAATCTAATGAGCAAAATAAACTGACAAACAAAATAGGACCAGAAACATGGGTACCTGGAACAGACTGACAGATCTCAGAGGGGAGGGGGATGGCAAGGACTGAAAGAGATTAACCAGAGACCGTGTAGCATATATACATGGGCCACGCACACTGACAATAAAGTGGCAGAGGTCTAGAAGTGGGGAGCGAGGGTTGGGTGGAGGGAGACAAAAAGAGGGAAACAAGACATTTATGACAGTGTCAACAGTAAAGAAAAAAAGATAATTAAAAAAAAAGACTGTTGCAACCTCTCTCTGCTGCCCATGGATATCGCCTGGTTATAATGACTAGTGGTCAAGAACATTAAGGTCGGTTTTGCAAGACTGTATTCTCGAATGACCTCTTATGATGGGAAACATTTCCGTTCTTGGAATGCAAGCCCCAGAGGAGTGGGACGCCAACACTACTTACATTTCGGGCCAACATCTCTGTTTCCAACAGCTGGTGCTTCTTGAGCAGGTTTCCTGCGGAAGCCAAGTCCCTGGCCTGGTCTTTCATGGCCAGCAGTGTCTCCGCCTGGGCACAGAAGAATAAGCAAGAAAGTTGCCAGTCAAAACGATCTTTAGAAGGAACAAGATTGGCAACTGTGTCCCCAAACTTTCTCCAAGAAGAGTGAAGGGGGTTATTCAGGCATGAATCTGATGATCTGATAAGCTCCCATTCCCCCCCTCCCCCTCAACTCCACCCCCACTTCCAGGTGCAATTACCTCTGAGAGCCAGAACTCAAAATCCCGGATGCCTGTGTTGAACCTCTGCTGGCGACTAGCCTCATTGAGCTTCTGCCCTTTGTCAATTGTTCTCTCAAGCAGGTAGTCCCAGTGTTTCTCCAGCTCTTCCAGTTGACCCTAACCCAGAGAAATTGAGGTCATTGTGATCTTTAGAATCCTGGGTCCAGTAACAACTTGAATGGATAATATAGGAAGGCTATGAAGGTAGGGACTAGCCAAATTTTCCAATACTTGAATATCATAGGTTTTTATTGATTTCAGAGAAAGGAAGGGAGAGAGACAGAAACATCAATGATGAGAGAAAATCTTCGATTGGCTGCCTCCTACTGGGGATCAATCCTGCAACCCAGGCATGTGCCTGACCAAGAATGGAACTGTGAACTCCTTTGTTCATTGGTTGACGCTCGACCACTGAGTCATCCTAGCTGGGCTGAATACCTTGTGTTAAACCAGTATGCTTAATCTGGGGAAAAGAACAGAGGTACAAGAAGAAACTTTGAAGAAAGGGTGCTGGGCTGCTTACAGGGACTGATGCCTGAATGGCAATGACTCTTGGCTGTAGGGATAGAAAATGTAAAACAAGTATGATGATGCTTAGTAATTAAGTCTAAAACTTTCTTGGAGTTTTAGGTGCTAAGTGTGGTAGGAGCACTCAGGTCCCAGCATCACTGTTTTCCTCCTTCCTTGTGCAACAAGCAGAGGAAAGGCCACTAATCAGAAAACATATCCCATATCCCCACACATGGAAACAATAAAAGAGTAAAAAAAATTATCTTCCTGTGACTCTATAGCCCAAAACCCACGCTGGCAGCACCCCTACCTTCATGGTCTCTTCATTGCCATCGCATGCCCTTTGCTCAATCAGAGAGTTCCCCAAGTTGATGACCCCTTCTACTTGCTCAGCTCGGCCGTACACCTCATTTTCAAAGGTCTGGTGCTTCAGGTACTTCCTCTGCAGGAAAAGAAGAAACTAAGTCACCTTCTCACTTAGGGAAGCAAGAAAAGGTAACTTCTGTTGACAAGAAAGAGGTCACGTTTCCACCATAACCAACGTGATGATGGCTTCTGAAGAACCCACTCCACCTTAGATTCCAGAGTCGCTGAGGACAGCAGGAGTGATCACAGCAGTAAGCAAATGTTCACTGTAGGGAGGTGACCATTCCTCTGACAATCTCCGGATGCTGACTTTTCCCAAGGTTTTTATTTTGAGCTTGCCTGAATGTTGGTAGGGTCTTTGTAGGACTCATCACAGGCGGTGGGCAGCATCTCACTGATCCATTCTTCCAGGTCCTCGAGGTCACGGTAGAATTGTTTTAGGTCAGCATAGTTTCCCAGTTTGGTCCGCTCAGCAATCAGCAGTGCTTTGAGAGCCTTCCACCTGGAAGAGGGGGCGGGATCATTTTCTGCCCTCTGCCCTCCCCTCAACCCCGAATGGCATAGCCATGACTCTTGCCATTTGCCAACCTGTCCCTTCCCCTCTCATTACTTATATATTTATGAGTTACATATAACAGAGTTAAAAATTATTTAGTCTCACATCATATTATTATATGTCATATTATTATCTATACACCGTATGTCTATGTTATATATAACATAGTCTCATAATTTTTGGATATAAAATAGAATGGTTAAGTCAAGTAATTGCTAAGGTAACGTCTATGTCTTTTATTCTGTGAGTGTAGATTATAAAGTTTCCCAAAGTGTCAAGGTAGTTTTAGGCACCTAGAGATGAGAAAAGCTCAGTGTTACGCCCATGCTCAATGCTAGCAGAGGGGATGCTTTGCTACATCCTCTTGTCGCTCAGAAACATTTGCTCAGGCCTGACCTGTCCAGCACCCGCTGGAGGCGAGCAGCAATCTCTTCCTTGGCATAGTGGTCATCAGCTATGAGGCGCTCAGCAAAATGCTCTAGCTCAGTGATCTTGTTTTCCTAGTACCAGGAAGAGAGAGAGAGAGAGAGAGAGTGAGAGAGAGAGAGAGAGAGAGAGGATTAGGCCCTGGTACAATCCCAGACTCTCTCCTAGAAAAGAACAGAGATATCCTTTGTGACTTCAGGACCAAAGGGTAGATGCCTTACAGGGAGATGGGTTTTAAATCAACAAGATGAGAACTATTACTAAGAATACTTAGATGGGCTACTTGTGTGGCACCGAATTCCTGTCTTTGTTACTTCCTGTGGCCATTGTGGAGGGTCATTTCTGCACTGGGTGGGATGCTGGAATAGGCACTATAAAAAATCTCTTCCAACTCCAAAATTCAGAAAATTTTAAAAAAATCCTCAACAGAGGATATTTTTCCATTGATTTTTAGAGAGGGTGGAAGAGAGAGAAATATCCATGTGAGAGAAATGCATCGATTGATTGCAAGGAGCCTGCAACTGAGGTATGTGTCCTTGACTGGAATTGAACTCGGGACCTTTCAATCTGCAGGCCAATGCTCTATCCACTGAGCCAAAGTGGCTAGGGCTAAAATTCAGGTTTTGAAAGGTTGGACATAAAGTAAGAAAGGTCAATGCCATGTGTGTCTTGAGTTAAAATAAGCCAAAGTGTCAAACTACCTCAGAGTTTCCTATAGAAGCAAATGGGAATAATTTTAAATCATAAACCACAAACATATGTAGAGTTTCTGTTATTACTAATAGTTATTCTTTGAATTTTTATATTATTACCTGGGCAGCGATTGCTTTGTCCAAATCATCGCGTTTCTTCATCAAGGCCTCCAGACTGTCTAAGGAACCCTTATCATCTGACCGCAGGAAATTCTCACGAGCCACCATCCAGCTCTCTGCCTGGTCACAGTTGCCTTGGAACAACTATGGGAAGTCAAGTTAGAGGTACATGAGACACCAGTCCTCCCTTATCCACAGTTTCATTTTCTTCAAGGTCAACCACGTTCAGAAAATATTACATGGAAATGCCAGAGGTGAACAATTCATAAGTTTTAAATAATGTGCCTTTCTGAGCAGAGTGAGAAGTCTCCAGCCATCTTGCTCTGATACACCTTACTCCGTGCATCTGCGTTATTATACACTCCCCAACTGTTAGTCACTTAGCTGTCTTGGTTATTAGACCTGCTGTATCAATATGGTTGTATGCAAGTAGCCCCAATTCTACTTTATAATGGTCCCAAAGCCATTCACATAACTTGTATTATAGTATATTGTTATGAAGGTTGTATTTTATTATTTA